GAGAAGGGGGGGGTAGGAGTAGGGGGGGTGAGAGAGGTGAGGACAACAAGGGGGAGGAAGAAAGAAATGTCTCAGGAGTTCCAAAATACAGTAGAAAGACATGAATGAGTCAGACTGTGTGTGTGTGTGTGTGTGTGTGTGTGTGTGTGTGTGTCTTACGTTTGACAGTGTTTAACACTCGGTTGTCCAGGGGCTTTCGGCTCGGATCATTGGTGGAGGAGCGGATCCCTGTCCCACAGCTATTGGCCAGAGTGTTTCTATGGATACCATAACAACCCAATCAGCACCTATACCAAGCTGTAGATTACCTCTCTCTCTCTCTCTCTCTCTCTCTCTCTCTGAGACAATGTGACAGAGCAGTTATGTAAAGCAGCAGCTGGATCCTGAGGGAAGATGCTGACTGTCAGAAGCTTCTGGAATACTTCACACAGCTCGATGTCTGACGTCTGATGATGTCACATGACGTCTGATGATGTCAGAGCATCTGGGCGTGACACACCATCGATGTTGTTGTCTCCTTTTTGTTCATTTTGAAACATCTTTGACATTTTAACATTAACAGTATCTCAACAAACCATTATTATGATTGATTCATCTCCTGTTTTTTCCACCATTAATCAATTAATCGTTTGATCAATAAAAGTCTATGAAGTCTTTACATGTCTTGTTTTGTCCAAAATCCAAATATAATCAATTTATAATCAATTTACTGTAATGTAGAACCATGAAACATCTTACACAGACTAAATAAAGATGGATGTCGCCACAGGTTTCTGAAGTGCAGAGTGAGCTGCTCCACTGTCACCATCTTGGCAGTGTCTGACTCCACCCCCTAACTCCCAGCTAATCCAAATATGATCAAAGAGGAGGGGCGTGTGAGGACCTGAGACTTCAGTTCAATAGGTTTAATAGCTATGGCGAGCATGCGGTCCCGTTAGCATCATTAGCACAGCTAGGTGTTTGGGCATCTTGCTCAAATGCTAACCCAAAGTTAATTCATTTGCTGGCTAATTAGCTAGTTAACAAGCTAAGCTAACATGCCAGGTATGGTGAGTGCTGACACTGATACCTGCTACGTTCAGTGACTTGAATCAGCTGATGTGATGCTGAGCAGCTAGCTAACAGTGAGGGTCCTGACCTGTCACTCAAAGAGGCCACGCCCTCAATCCTCCATAACTTTAGTCCTTAATAAAACATAAACAGGTGAGTTATATAAACAGGTGTCATGAAGGAGGAAATTAGCTCTAGAGACCAAAACAGTTTCTGTACCAGGCTGTAAACATGTTTATTTCTGCTGTAAAGTTGGACATTTTAACATGGGAGTCTATGGGGACTGACTCACTGTTGGAGCCAGACTCTAGTGGTCATTAGAGGAACTGCAGCTTCATGTTTCAGGCTGGAGGTTGATGATTGGTCTTTACACAAAACGACTAAAATTAATCGATTAACGTAATTGATTAATGGACTAATAATTGCAGCTCTTAAATGTCTTAAAAGTCAGATGACTGCTTCCTGTTGTACATGATTACATTTATGAAAAATATACATTGGTTTCATATATTAAGCAGAATGGATAGATATACCATTATCAGTTTCGATGAACACAAAATGGATGTATATTAGTTTCATATCTTCGGTTTGTAGGTACATAAACTGTCATATCCATTTCAGAGATATAAAGAACCAGACATGCCTCCAGTCTTTATGCTAAGCTAGGCTAAGATAGGCTAACCACCTCCTTCATTTGTTCCTGTTGATGAAAGTCTCCGCTCACCTGTCGAAGAACGTGGCCAGCAGTCTCCTGAGCAGCACCTTGTGTTTGACTCCAGCACACAGGTGGCAGTTCATCAGCTGACCTCGTGTCATGAACACACCTGAACCTGAGCACACACACACACACACACACACACACACACACACGTCAGAATACATGACATGATAACTCAGCTCTTCAGCTGGATTGTGTTTAATGACCTTCCTAACGAACCTGTTACCATGACAACACATCTTGTACCTGATGCAACTTTCTCACTGTCCTTTTTCTCTGAGTGTCCTACCTGCCACCAGTTCCACCTTCTCCCCCGGGTCGCCCTCAGTGTAGAGCGATGGGTGGCAGCGATACCCGATCTGACTGATCAGACTGGCAGGTAGAGCCATGTTGTCTCGACCAACCAGCACGCAGGGCCGACGCTCGTTAGCCAATGGGAGAGGCAGCATCTCCATCTTCTCTTGGACTGGACCAAAGAGAAACAGGGGGACAAGAGGGGAGGGGGGGGGGAGGGGTCAGCAAAACCTGGAGGCAGACTGATGATCTGGAAAAGATTCACAGATCCAGTCCTAAACCTCCTGAACTGCTTCAAGGACTCAACGTTGCCGTAGGAGTTAAAATGATTGGAGCAGCTGATAGTGTTGCCAAGCACCACCTTGAGGTGTTGAAGTCATGTGACCTTCGTGTTGAAGTCAGGTGACCCTGGTGTTGAAGTCAAGTGACCCTGGTGTTGAAGTCATGTGACCGTGTTGTCTAAGTCACGTGACTGTGGTGTTGAAGTCATGTGACCTTAGTTGGTTTTTAGCCTCACATTAAACATGGTTTCACTCTTAAAGTTTATGGTTCTTCAGATGTGATGTAATCTCAGACAGTTCTGCGTGACAAGGACATAAAGTTCAGTTCCTCCGGTCCTTTAGTTCCTGGAGGAACTTGTTTAAAAGGACTAAACAGGGTCAGGTGATGACAGACCTCATCACGTCACTGGTCTGAATTTGTCTCAGAACGGATCTGGACTCAGCTGGATCACCAACAGGTTTAGTCCTGTGTTCATGATTTAGTTTAGTCACAACTGGTTCATGAGGTAACTTACTGTAGGGGTTTGCGGGATGTCCGTAGATGTGTTGGTAGAGTCCAGGGTGGACAGTGTTGCCGTAGTAATCCTCCTCCAGCTCCTCCTCAGTGGGGGGGTGAGAGGGGGGGGAGTCCGTGGGGAGACTGGATCCTCCCGGACTGGAGCGCCCCCCGCCTGCCAGCAGGTAGGACTGCAGCCCTGGTACCAAACCTCCACCTGCACCCAGGTAACACAGAGCACTGCTCCTGGAGGTCTGCAGGTCCCCCGCGATGTCCGCTCTGAGGACAGAAGGACGGAGGAGACAGAGGACATCCAGTGTGTGATACGATTTATGAGACCAGATGTAACGTTCAGTTGATCTATAAAGAGTCTCTGTGCCAGAGCTTGAAGGCGCAGGCTCATCAGACCTAGAGACGCACACAGAGGTTTATAACACTGTGACCAGGATAGGAATGTCATGGTGGCCCCTCCCTCCGGCCACGATGCCCCAAACAAGATAGCATGTTCTGCGGCCACCACGGTCTGTGTGTCCATGCAACTGTCAACATCTGGACGCTGCATCACTGCAGCAGCTTGGATTGGTTGTGCGAATATAGTACACTGCTAACAGCTAACTAGCTAGCTAACTCCTCTCCGGTTGCCCCCCCCCCCATACAGATCTATTCCTGAAAGCAGCTGCTCTACTCCTGTAACAATATTTTGTCTGTAATTTACAGCAGATCTCACACAGAGACGATTAATCAGCATCATTAGCTCGTTGACTTGCTGCTGCCTCCTTATGTAGTTTCCGCACATGTCTGTGCACGATCGTCGTCTGTCTCGTTCTGGTGGACACTGTATCTCAGTAACACCTTGAAGGAACTTCTTCAAATTTGGCACAAACCTTCACTTGGACTCAAGGATGAACTGATTGGATTTTTGTGCGTAAAGGTAAAAGGTAAAGTTCGTGGTAACGTCACAAAATGCGGTTTTGGCCTTGTGAACACGATATCTCAGTAACACCTTGATGGAATTTCTTTAAATTTGGTTAAATGTTCACGTGGACTCAAATTGATTAGATTTTGGTGGTCAAAGGCCAAATGTCAAAGTCCAGTGTGAGCTCACAAAGTATTTTTTAGCCATTACTCAAGCAGCAATTATGACAAAATTTCATGCTAATATTTAATTTTTCCTATAACAGGCTGTGACCTGAAACTAATCTGAGTGGGGGAGGAGGAGGAAGAGACTCTAGTTTTTACTTTGGTGACCTGTTGAATTTCTCCCTGTTCTGTTTGTATCTCGACCCACATTCTCCATCACCACTTTACAGCTTACAACAGTAACACACCACAATACGTCCTTGATTCAACCTGTCACAGCTGGTACACTCGGTCAGTGAATGGGTGACAAGTAGAGATGACTGTTGAACCTAACTCTTGTTTGTCCTCACCTGGCCTCCTCTCCTGCTCCTGCTGCTCCTGCTCCGTTCTCCTCAGCAGGAGGAGTGTCGGCTCTCTCCTGTTTGATCCTGCTGACAGCGAGCAGCAGCTCCTCTGGGCTCAGGGCCGGCTGGTCTGGACTGGCCTCCTGCAGCTGGGGGGTGCTTTGCTGTTGCTGCTGCTGGACCATCGGGGTGTCGAAGCCCCCGAGCTCGTCTGCTGAGGTCGTCTGCAACGAAAATATTCTGCTGTTCTGAAAGACATCTTCAGAGTTTACTGTGTTTGTTCAGTGTTTGTCAAAGTTTGGGCCTTATGAAATAAACACAGTCATGTTGGTTAATGCATTGAGAGCCTAGGGGCCTGGGGGTGTGGCCAGAGAAGATTCCAAGCAATCAGCAGCCTCAGATAAAAAATGCGTTGAGCTGCAGTTCTTCTAATGTCGACTAGATGCTGCTTCTGCAAGCTGGAATCAAATGAAAATTTATCAGATGTGCTTCCTCACACATTAGTGGACCTTTGTGAGCGCAGCCAATCACTGTTGACTGTCTGACAGATGAATTAGCTTAGCTGTTCAGCAGTTTCTGAATTTCCTGAACTGTACAATATCAAACTAGCCTCATATTGAAATCAGACAAAAAAGATAACCTGAGCCTGGGTTTGTTACACCAACACAGTTTAAGTCCCTTAAAAAAACAATTGTGTACCGCTAGCAAGGACTGTAGCTAATGCTAACAACTCCAACAGGAGCACAACCAAAACAGTCACAGTCTAGAGGGTTGACTTCAGTCTACCTGGACTAACTCAGTCTATAGACAGCTCTGTAGGCATGGTCAAACCAACCTGTGAGTCACAGCAGAGAGGTGAAGAGGAGGATGAGGCCTTCATCATCATCAGCTCCATGCCTCGCTCCACGATGTTCTGGATCTGCAGGTACCCGGCGGTGTACATGAGCACCAGCTGCTCGCTGGCAGCCATGCTGAGGCGTCCCGTGTAGCAGAACGACAGAATCTGCTGGAAACACGTTGGCGTTACTGAGGACGGCAGCTCGAACACCGCCTGGGAGGAGGAGGAGGAGGAGGAGGAAGAGGATGATGAGGAAGAGTCAGCCGCAGAGCTGAACAGGTCTCTGAAGTACAGGGAGGAGGCGGCGAGGACGGCCCGGTGCGCCTTGAAGGCCTGACCCTGCACCAGGATGGAGACGTCGCAGTAGTGACCCAGTAGCCGCTGCTCGTTCAGGCTGCCCAGCACGCTGCTGCCAAAGTCCGGGATCTCCACCTGCAGCAGCCCCTCCGCCATGGTGGAGGCTGGAGGTCCAGAGGAGGGTGGGACAGGAAGTGACTGAAGGTTCAGACTAGCTGGTGGCTAGATGTTCCTGACCAGCCAGAGTTAGACTGACACAGGGGGGAGGGGGAGGGGAGGGGAGGGGTGTTTAGGTGTCGGGGATGCTGCAGATATCTCCTCCAAAATGTTTCAGATACATAATATTGTTGTGGCAGAAACAGTGAGGTCAGAGGTCAGAGGTCAGGGCTGGAGGAGATGGGAGGAGAGGGGGGTCAGCTCCTGATGTTGAGTCAAAGCGAAGTAGGGAGGAGGAGGAGACTGTAGATCATCAGGATCAAGGTCAGCTCAGCACAGGGAAACAGCTAGAATATAAAGAGGTTGGGAGGTTTAAAGCGTCACAGTGTCACACCTTCTTGTTTACCTGCAGATCAAACTGAGAAAACACCAATCACATCTGAGACACCTCCACCACACATCAGCCAGTGTGTTGACCCTTTTATTATGTCATTTATTTATAATCATTATGGCACATGACACACATTTCACATGTGATCAATGTCATTAATAAGTGATCAAATGTGATAAGAAATGTGAATAAGATGTGTGGTAATGTGACAACATTTCACAAAAATAAATTTAAAAAAACTGTTGAAAATGTGACAAAAAGTCAAACTTCACATTTTCCAAACTGGATCAGCTGACTGTGAAAACAGTGACTGAATCCTGTTTTTATCACGTGACATTTCACATTTAACATACAACACATGTAACATGTCATGAATTGGCGTGTATGGACACACACACACACACACACACACACACACACACACACACACACACACACTCACACACACACACACACACACACACACACACACACACTCACACACACACACACACACACTCACACACACACACACACTCACACACACACACACACACACACACACACACACACACACACACACACACACGTGGTCAAGGTGAGTCAACACTTTTTTATCCCCTCCTCCTGATGACATCACTGTGACTCTGCTCATGATCAGTTTTATCTCTGAGCTCTTATCCTGCTTTTGAGAGACTGTGACCTGGTTCCAGGTTTCTGGTGGGCAGGTGTGTTGTCAGCTACAGGTCAGTTTGCTAAATTTATTATATCAGGAAAACCCCTGAAATATCCTCCTGCTATTGTAAGTGATGACACACGGCCACAGGTAGTTATGATTGTGATTGGCAGTAAAAGCAGACCCTACTCGACCCAGTTAGACTCAGTAGAATTTGGACTTGTTCTGACTTGGGTCCTGGGTCAGGTGGACCTGCGAAGACCTCTACAGATGGTTGATAGAGGCACCTGCTCTACACGTTAATGAATCAGTGATGTTCATCTCTATGCAGATGATACGATCTTTCACACCTGGTTCCAGTCAGACCTCTGGACCTCCTCATTCATCTGAGGTTTGTTCTAAAGTCAAAAAGACTAAATGTTGCTTTTCACAAGAACGCAAAGCTTTGATGTTTCTACTCTGATCTGCTCTCCATGGGAAGCTCATCAGTACAGTGCAGTACTGGTTCCTAAACCTGAGTGTTTCAGTTATATTTAATAAGACTCAACAGAAGAATAAAAGATTGTTACGCTCAACAAATAGATTCCTTTGTGGGTTTTTTTCCATGAGAAATATTAAAGAGTTTTGCCTCTTTGGGAAAACCTCATGTTGAACTCTTCTACCAAAGAGTCAAAACTAAAACTTCTTTTGTTAAAAGTTTGTTCTACACTCCAAAAAGACAAATGAGAGTAAAGTTACTCAGATGCCATTTTCTCAAGCTCTCAACCACAGACTCTAAATAGAGATGGATACCACCACTGTGAAGTCAGCTGCTGCACCATCGCTATCTTGGCAGTGTCTGACTCCGCCCCTAACTCCCAGCTAATCCAAATATGGTCAAAGAGGAGGGGCCTGTGTGGAGCTGAGACTTTGTGCTTGTCAGTTTGTGGTAAACATACGCTCACCCACCTGTCACTCAAAGAAGCCACGCCCTCAATCCTCCATAACTGTAGTCCTTAATAAAATGTAAACAGGTGAGTTATATAAACAGGTGTCATGAAGGAGGAAATTAGCTCTAGAGGCTAAAACAGTTTTTGTACCAGGCTGTAAACATGTTTATTTCTGCTGTAAAGTTGGACATTTTAACATGGGAGTCTATGGGGACTGACTCACTGTTGGAGCCAGACTCTAGTGGTCGTTAGAGGAACTGCAGCTTCTGGTTCTTCACTGTTGATGCTTCATTTTCCAAGTCAATGCTAACATTGTGAGAACATGACGGTACTTTGTCTTTAGACGTTGCAGGTACTGGAGATGTGATTCAGCATCATAACCTACAAGAGTGGCTGTGTTGTTATCGACAACCAAAAGCCAGTGAGCAAACAGAGTCAGAGCATGTGAACGAGAGGATGAAACTCCTCGAACGTATCTGAGCAGCTAAGAGACAGAACGAAGGACTTCACCTTGACAACATGTCGTCAACATGTCCTGAAATGTTACTGTCACTGTCTGTGAACTGACAGCTGACATCTGTTGTGGCTACACTCCACACACCACAGCCACAAAGACTAACTTTAGTTTGTGTAGGCAGATGGTAGCTTGTTTAGGCTAACGTTAGCTCATTTAGGCTAACGCTAGCTTGTTCAAGCTAACATAGCAACAGTTTGTAATGTAAGTCTGCAACTGTCATCACAGTTCCGTCTGCATGTGTGTGTGTGTGTGTGTGTGTGTGTGTGTGCGTGCATGGGTGTTTATGTGTGTGTGTTAACCTGATGGTTTCACACAGAAAACAAAGGCACAAAGTTCTGATGTTTTTAGTAACTAACTGGTTTGATGGACGATAAAACTCATGTTGAACATTTAAAAACAAACTATTCAAATATGATTCCTTCAGTGTAACGTCCGTCTGAGCTCGTCTCGCTCGTCCTCACCCTCCAGCTTCTTTTACACAAGGCTGTAATGGGCCTGGAACATGTTCAGTCTATCACGTCTTTTTTACCAGCTCAGCTCGTCTTATTTGACCTGGTGATGATATGTTTGCTTCCTTTGTCACTGTTTGTTTTATAAGTTTTACCTTGTGTGGAGATGGACAGTAAAGAGAGAGAGTTAATTTTCATTCAGTCACTGCTGCACCTGCTGTCACACACTGAGCTCTGAGAAAAGGTCAGAGGTCACTGACCTAAAACCTTTTGATTTAAGCCTCTGACATATTTGACATCATCAGTCAGACCTGAACAGAGACCACATCAAACCAGTTTCTGGGTCAAGTTCCCCAGTGCATCAGAGTCAGTCCACATCAGAGTCTAACATATGTTCACAGTCACATTCAGACCAAGACCCACCAGGCTGCTGCAAGTCCCTGAGCCAGGCATCACCCCCCACCCCCCACATCCACAGACACACACAGAGTCCTGTTCACTACAGCTGAGCCGCTGATCCTGAATCAGACCTGAGCTCCACTACAGTCTAGTTCAGCCTGGTAGAGCCCATTACAGTCCAATAGCTTCCACTAGCATCCTGTACAGTGCAGACCATTAAAGTCCTTTACAGTCCAGTCCAGAGCAACAGAGTCCAGTAGCTCTACGTACAGTCTGGTAAAGTCCAGTCCAGTCCAGTGCAGTATTGACCAGGACAGTTTAGTCCAGTACAGTCAAGCAGAGTTGAGTTCAGTCTAGTTCAATGCAGTAAAGTACAACAGATTCAAGTAAAGAACAGTAGATACAAATAGAGTCCAGTCTAATGCAGCACAGTCTAATACAGTGTAGTACAATATAGTACAATCTAGTAGAGACCAGGAGAGTGTCCTCCCATCTAATAGAGACATATATAGTCCACTAGCATCCAGTCCAGTAGAGTCCAGTAGAGTTTAGTAGAGTGAATGTGAGTTCAGTCTGTTTCAGAGTTCAGTTCAGTTCAGTTGTTGTTGTTTACAGTGCAGCTGCAGCAGAGAGACAGACAGACAGACAGACATACAGACAGGCAGCAGGGAGACAACAGTGTAAACAGACAGACAGAGAGAGAGAGACAGGTACATATAGAAAGAGACAGAAACAAATCAAACAGTTTCAGACGGACAGACAGACAGATGCAGTTAGAGGAGGACGTCAGACAGACAGGTAAACAGACAGACAGACAGCTCCTCACCTCCTCTCTGCTCCTCTTACTCCTCTGCTTCTCCTCCATGCAGCGGGCAGGACGGCTGGCTGGGAGAGGTTTTCTTCTTCTTCTCCTCCGCTCAGTCAACGCATCGTCTGGTGTGTCACAGGAGGGGGGGTGAGGGGGGAGGAGAGGTGGGTGAGGAGGGGGGAGGTAGAGACACAGCAGACAGCCGAGGAGGAGGAGGAGGGAGGAAGAGGAGGAGTCATCTGAGGACAGTGAGGGAGCTAATGCGGCTAAGTGCCCTGCAGAGGACGAGAAAGGGAGAGAGAGAGGGTGAGAGACATAGGGAGAGAGTTAAGAGAGAGGGGCGGACGAGCATGCATTACACAGCTCATCTGCTATAGGGAAGAACACACTGCAAGGTTGAATATTAAAGAGGCAGACATACATGAAAACACACTGATCTGTGTGTGTGTGTGTGTGTGTGTGTGTGTGTGTGTGTGTGTGTGTGTGTGTGTTTGTGTGTGTGTGTGTGTGTGTGTGTGTGTGTGTGTGTGTGTGTCATGACTTGGCCAAATGCACAGCGCTGCATTGCAGTGCCGAGGCTGAGTTGGCATGCCGAGTACATAGCGTGCATACTGCGACTGTGTGCCAGGCTGACACACACACACACACACACACACACACACACACACACACACACACACACACACACACACTCAAAAGAGCGGCAGCTTTTTGCAGCCTCAGCTTCCATCATCACATATAGTTCAGTTTAGTTTCTAACATGACAACAGACAGGTAGAGAGAGAGACAGGTAGACAGTTAAAGAGAAACGGTTAGAGAGAAAGACAGGTAGAAAGAGAGAAAGAGAGAGAGAGAGAGACAGATAGAGAAAAACAGTTAGACAGAGAGAGACATGTAGAGAGAGAGAGACAGGTACAGTTAAAGAGAAACAGTTAGAGAGAGAGACAGGTATAAAGAGAGAGAGAGTAAGAGAGAGAGACAAGTAAAGAAGCAATTAGAGAGAGAGACAGATAGACAGAAAGATACAAGTAGAGAGAGAGACAGGTAGAGAGAGAGAGAAACAGTTAGAAAGAGAAACAGGTAGAGAGAAAGATAGGTAGACATTTAGAGAGACAGACAGGTAGAGAAGCAGTTAGAGAGACAGGTAGAGAGAGAGACAGGTAGAAAGGTCAAGAGAAACAGTTAGACAGAGAGAGACA